CTCCTGAGAGCTATTGCAGAGGCCATTGTTCTGGAGGATGCCTCGAGGACATGCTTAGTCGTGTTGAGCTGTTGTTTTGCCAACACCATGCCTTTTGGATGACTCTGGCTGCCTGGAGTTTGTCTTCTGGGAGGTGGGTCAGAAGTTCGGAGAACTGTTCCCAGAGAGTATATTGATACCTATTCATGCAGGCTAGGTAGTTAGTGGCCTTGACTCCCAATGCTCCTGTGAAGTAGAAGTGTCTATCAAAGGCATCCAATTTCTTACCTTCCTTGTCAGAAGGTGCGGAGTGTGTCCTCTTGGATTTAGAGGTTTGGCTGAGGGTGCGAGAATAGGAATTCGGCATCTGCCTCTTGGACCCTATACATGTGGTCCAGTCGTCTCGTGGACACTGGGGCTGACGAGGGTTTTAGCCATGGTGCCTTTGCTGCCTGCAAAAGGACTGAAGACATGGGCAATGCTAAGGTGGAAGAGCTATCAAGCTGGACTATATCAAAAACAGCATCAGTTGCCTGCAGATGTTGCTGGACGACAGAGAGGCCTAGTGGGCCATTCTTTTGACTAAATCTGTGTATGACGTAAGGTTGTCGGATGGGGATATGGGTAGGACCTCAGCGACATCCTGGTTGGGAGATTTATGGCCAGGAGAAGTATGAGCCTCAAATGCTTCCTTATCCGAGTCTTCTTCTATGGAGACAGAGGAGTCTTGGTGCGGTATATGGACCGAAGTGTCCTCTTGACAAGCTATAGGTTTTGGTGGAACGACAGGGTTTGGAGTGACTTGAGGGTTGGGAGGACGACTTGGTTCCAGACTATGGTGGGAAGGACCGTCTGCAGGAGGATGAGACAGAGGTGCCGAAGGTCTTGACTTGTGTGGCGACCTCGATCTATGAACAGAGTGGGACGAATAGTGATCCCAATCAGAATAGCCTGCCGGAGTCAACCACGGCATGGATGGTGGATAAGCCCCGAACAGGAACCTCAACTATAGTTGATCCCAAGATATCGTTGGTGGAGGGGGCAGGAAGACTCGGGGGGATAGACTTCTGGACCGTGGACGTCTGGGAGACAAAGCAGTAGCCTGTCTGTGAGAACCGTCCCTGTAGTCTCGGTCATCGATATCAACAGATTGGACACGGAGACGCGGAGGATGACATTGCGTGCTGTGAGAAGCGTGTCGGTACCGACGTGTTTCGACATCGGGAGCCTCCGATAGCATCGATGCCGACGAAGTAGAAGGAGAGGGAGAAGGCTCAGCACCCACCTGGTGACTTAGGAGCTCTACTGTTTCGATGTCGGAGTAAAGACGCTCCACTTGTTGGATGGGGGAATCCAATAGTTGGATGGTCGGTATCGGTGGAGGAATTTGGGCCTCCGATATCGATACTGCCGTTGGAGCGGGAGGCACTGTAGGGGTATCACCCAGTGCAGGCACCGCTTCCTTCCCCTTCTTCGCCGCCTTAAGGGACTTTGAGGTGGCCTACTTAGTGGACTTGCGATCCTTACTTGCCTTGGCCTCCTTTTTGATTGGCGTGGAAGCAGAAGATTGCACCGTCGATGCCGGGAGTTTCTGTGTCAGGCGGTCGGCATCGGAGGCAGGTCTCGATGCCGGAGTTGTTGATGTTGATGGTCTCTCCTCCATCGCTGAGGTAGGAGTAAGGGCCGATTCTAGTAGCACTACTTTAAGGCGCGCAGCTCGGTTTTTCCACGTTTGATTGGGAAAACGAGCACAGTGATGACAGGACTCTGGCCGATGAGACTCTCCGAGACAAAAAATGCACAGGGTATGACGGTCGGGAGGAGCAAGTTTGCTGCCGCAACCCTTGCACCTATTGAAAAAACCCCACTTCTTCTCCATAAAAGAAAGTGAAGAAGAGGGAACGTTGGGGGGGGTAGCCCGAAAGCCTGAGGTAATCGGTAGACTCCCCCTCGGCAGAAAATAAATGGGTTGTTTTTTTAAAGAACAAACAAATAAGAGAAAGGAGAGGAAATTTAGAATAAGGAAATAATTCCTAAGAGCTGTGAGGTGAAATCCAAAAGCGAACCGATCTGACCGACAAAAAATAGGTCTACTCAGCACGGCGGTAAGAAAGGAACTGGCGGGATGTCTGCGCCCACCCCTCTGGGCATGCACGGTGGGGTTCCTGTGCATGCCCGAGGGACTGGGCGCGAAAATCCATTAAAAGAGCTTGCTACAGCACCAATCAATCCAGCGCGTGCGCACTAGATCCCATGGGTGTGAAGCACAGAGACCACTTCGAAGATCAAGTAGTGTCTAAACTGTGTGGTTAGACAACTGTGTTATCTTGTGTGCCTAAAACAAAGAGCTTAGCCAGCGTGGCTACCTATATGAGAGAGAGAAGCCCGTCAGCGTGGAATTTTGGTGTCTGAGAGACTGTGTGTGGCACCTTACTAGTTATATTTACAAGTTCCTTTTTCCAGAAACAGTTCAGGATAACCAGAAACCTATGTTGTTCTTTATTCAATAAATCAATTTTTGTTCAAACATATCCCAGGAATCAGTGCAGTCCTTCCTCAGGGCCACATAGTCCTCTGAAGTGCCCAGACCCTGGGTCATACTACCAAAAGAGAGAGAAATGGAATTTTTAATTCCTGGTGGCAGCAGGAAACTACCAAGTTTATATACACGGAGGGTGGTTTAAAGGGAAAAAATTCTCCCCCTATAAGCAAGACCAAATTCCTTTGTGCATTTTTCTTAATTCTGGCTTTTTCTTTTCTTTTTTTGGAGGGGTAAGAAATCCTGTAAGTAGCGGAAGTGCTGTTCTGCCACCCCTTGATGTCAGCAGGTGTTGGCGCTCATGCTATCTTTGGAGCCAAAAAAACTAGACACTTGCTCTTGCTATTTTAAAATAAAATTGATAGTCTTGGGAAGTAGAATTCAGTGCCCATTGCCGTACCCTCAGGGTGTCTGCTCCTGTAGAATCACAGCATAGGTAAAGGTGGCTGGCTTCTCGTGGCTCTCACCTCTTGGTCTTTGGGGGTTGTCAGAATGGCACTGTCCCACTGGTACAGAGAAGAGCCTCTGAATCTGAAATCATTGCAAGGCCACAGAGCACTGTGCATGGCCAGGATGTGGTAGTTAAAGAGTGTCCTCTGATTCTGCGTTCGTGCTTGGTTAAAACGTGTTCCCTCCAGGATAAGGGGAGAGATGTGACAGTTCCTCGTTCCAGCTAAGCATCTTCCTCATGCTTTTTAATGTTTTTTTTTTTAAAGATTACAACAATATAGGGAAATTTCTAAACCGGATTCTGGGCATGGAAGTGCATCAGCAGAATGCTCTGTTCCAGTACTTCTCGGACACGCTCAACGCGGTGATACAGAACGCTAAGAAAAATGGAAGATACGACATGGGCATTTTAGGTGAGTGCCGGCGTTCCCATAGTCTGGCCTGCAAGCCTCCCTTTGGAGTCCCAATTCCTTACCCTACCCAATAGTATGTGAACAAAAAAGATTGATGTGTCACGTACTGCTGATCCAGCTAGTAACAAGTCAAAGCCCTGCCTTGAACTGTTGGAGTGCTGCTGCTGCTGCTGCTGCTAGAGTTATACTTTTAAAAAGCCAAGCAGTTGAAGTTCATCTGAAAGCTTACAGCCCAGTTTCTCCGTAGGTTACCCTCTGCTACTTTCCCCTCCCACTTGGCGCTGGTCATGTGGTAGTTCCGGGGGATGGCTATATATCAGGGGTGTCAAACATGAGGCCCAGGGGCCAGAACCGGCCTGTCCAGGGCTCTTACGCGGCCCAGGAGCCACTGGTGCAAGGGAGGGAACAGGAGACTGCTTGGGGTGGGGAGGGGGTGGGGTGGAGCCACTCTGATTCCGACTTCAGCACAGCGGGACAGTCTTGTCTGCACCAGTCAAACGGCATGGAAGTCTTCCACTTGCAGCTGTTGTTGTGAACGTGGGTCAGTCGTACGTTCTCTCAGAGCTGTTCTCTCAAGAGCAGTTCTCTCAGAGCTCTCTCAGCCCCGCCTACCCCGCAGGGTGTCTGTTGTGGGGAGGGGGGAGGGAAAGGAGATTGTAAGCCGCTCTGAGACTCCAAGTGAAGGGCGGGGTATAAATCCCATCTCTTCTTCTTATGGCACACATGGCCCAGCCGACAAAGTGACATTTATGTCAGATCTGGCCCTCGTAACAAATGGATTCAACACTTCTGCTATATATGATAACACTGGCTATAAAGTGCGTGTCTTGTGACTCTCTTCTGTTTCCTCCCCCCAAAGATCTGGGTTCAGGAGATGAAAAAGTGAGGAAAGCGGACACGAAAAAATTTCTGACGCCAGGATATTCTACCTCGGGACATGTAGAACTGTACACTGTAAGTCTATTATGTTTTCTTGGTTAAAGTAATTAAAGACCCATGCTAAGTCTTGGCGGAAGGGTCTTAAACGGCTACGTATGTCCTTGTTTTTGTGTGTTCTAGATCAGTGTGGAGAGGGGTATGTCTTGGGAAGAAGCAACTAAGATTTGGGCTGAGCAGACTGGACCGGAGGATGGGTTCTATTTATCGTTACAGGTGAGGCTGCATCTTCTGTGAAAACCTCCAGACCATCATTTCTTCTATAGCAGAATTGTGGCTGCTCGAAAAGCTCTTTTTGTTGGCCATTAAGTATATTCAGTTCAACACAGACCTGACACTTGCTTTCTTTTCTGAACTAAGTCGAACTATTGTGTATGCATGTAGTACACTTCTAGTGTTAAAAGCAGTTCATGTAGACTATCTGAAATTATCCTTTCAACTGCCCTGCACTATTATTCCCACATTGTAGACAGTTGACTGAGGAAGTGAAGCTGCCTTATACTGAATTAGACCTTTGGTCTGCCAAAGTCAGTATTTACTCAGGCTGGCAGTAGCTCTTCAGGGTCTCAGGCAGAGGTCTTTCACATCAGCTGCTTACCTGATCCTTTTAACTGAAGGTGCCAGGAATTGAACCTGGTACTTTGTGCATGCCGAAGCAGAGGCTCTTCCACTGAGCCACAGCCTTACCTTTGTTCCAAGAGGATCTTTAAAGTCTCTGTGCACCAGAAGAAATGCTTCTGCTAGCAGAGCCAATATGCAGCAGCTGGTGTGACCGTGGGTCAGTCATAAGTTCAGAGCTGTTCTCTCAAGGGCAATTCTCAAGAGAGCTCTCTCAGTCCCACCTTCCTCACAGGGTGTCTGTTGTCAGGAGGGGAAAGGAAGAAGATTGTAAGCTGCTGTGTGACTTTGGATATAAATCCAACTCTTCCTCTCCTTAATGCCACCTGAGTGACTTTGTGGCTGAGGCCACTTGCATCAGGACTTTCACGTTCACATTCTGAGCTGCTTGGTAGGCGGGACTTTGTAAAATAGCTCATTCTTAAAAACGGCAATACTGGAAATCTATACAGAAAATAATAGAGGAAGTGGTTAATGTAAAACTTGACTTGATGCCTGAAATATATTTGTTAAATATAAAGCCGGAAGTGCTTACCTATAATGAAAAATTATGTAAGTATATATATTGTTACAGCTGCAAGAATACTGTGGGCCAAACATTGGAAAATGGAAAATACACCTAGACTAGAAGAACTAAGATATAAAATGATGGAGGTAGCGGAAATAGAAAAGTTAAATTTGATCTTACAGGGGGAAAATGAAGATATTTTTGTTGAAAGATGGTTAGGACTATATAAATGGTTAGAAAGTGAAAAGTGACTCAAAATATATGTACTTTCATGAAATTGTATAAAAATGTTTGCAAAATGCAAAATAAAAATACAAAAAAAAAATACGGCAATCAACATGATGAGTATTGAGCCGAAAGGGCATTGTGCAGTGAAGGAGCTAGTCAATTCAATTTTATTACGTTATAGTCCATGACCAAATCTACTTGACAAAAACAAACATCGTTCAGGTATACAAAGAGACAAGTTAAAAACTCCAGTTCAAATATAGAAAAAGAAAATTTAACATAAAAGTAAATAAAGAAATAGATTGTAAAATACATAACAAAGCATCATAGGTGACCATTTTTAAAATTTAAACCAAGGAATTTAAGAGGAACAAGAGGTATATAAAGACCTCCTGAAGGAAACTTAGTTCAAGCCTCAACAGTTCAAGCCTCAAAGGGGCGCAGGACTGAAATTTACTGTGCACTTTAATGGCCAGAGTATCTCTGAGTATGCGATCTTCGTATATCTCCCTTCCAAGACCATGGATGGCCTGGCATTACATCTGGCCACAGTGGAGGGGCCAGATTACAAGTGGAGCGGTGATGGATAGCCAGGCCGCTAGGAAAGCAAGTTGGTGCAGGTCTAGGAAAGAGGTTGACAGAGGTTGCTCGAAAGGATAGAAGAGGAGATTTTGCAGAGGGGGAAAAGCTGGGATGTGAGTGGTATGACGCTGGAGGCTCCTTACGTAATGTTAGCAAGACAGTTCCATGTTTCTGAATGGGTTAGGCTGGGAGAACTTGAACCATTTTCAGACCGTTGCCTTCGAATGCACGTTCGAGCTTTTGCGTGCCCTCCTTCACGCATATCTTTGCCAGTTGATCGCTGCCGTAAGGATTACTGCGCTTGCTTCTTCACGGGACAGACGGCCCCAGAAGGCTTTACGGCCTAACTGCACGAATCCAAGCACATACCCTGAGATGGTTCGCCTTGCTTAGCTTCCTCCCCACCAGTGTTCCCTTTAAGCTATGTTAGTGTGAGCTAGCTCACAGTTTTCTAGCCTCCAGCTCACACTTTTTTGCCTTGGCTCAGGAAGGAGGGCTCCAGAGCAAACTGATTTACGCAGCAGCCAAATCACTGGCTCACAACTTTTATGCCAGCAGCTCACAAAGTAGAATTTTTGCTCACGGGACTCTACAGCTTAGAGGGAGCATTGCTCCCCGCAGATCATAATCGACACAACCGTCTTCTAAAGAAACGTATTCGGCTCTGCCAGCCGATTGGGCTGGGCCTCGTGGATGCCTACGGTGGTGCTCTCGCTTGGCGCAGGGAGACGTCGCCGCTGTCTCCCAACAGGGAGGCCTCTGTTAGCAGCATAGGTCATTCCGTCTGACTTGTCACGTGGAGCCAACGGGGTTATATTTTTATTTATTTATTTGGTCTTTTTCCCCCAGATACGAAATAATAAGAAGACGGCCATCCTCGCGAAGGAGGTGAATCCCAAAAAGAAGCTTTTTCTACTATACAGGCCAAATACTGGGAAACAGCTCAAATTGGAAACCTATGCAGAGATAAAGAAAAAATATAAGAAGGTTAGTTTTAAAAGTCTGTTCCGTGCGTGTCTTAAGCGCCACCTAGTCGGTTCCAACTGATGGGTGACCCTGTGGACTAATGTCCTCCTAACCGCCCTGTCGTTAGCAGCTTTGCTCAGGTCTTGCTAACTGGGGGCCCTTCTGGCTTCCTTGACTGCGTCCAGCCATCTCATAGAGTCATGGAACAGAATGACAGAATCACAGTCGGAAGGGGCCCGACAGGCCATCTAGCCCCACCCCCTGCTCAGTGCAGGATCAGCCTAGAGTGTCCCAGACAAGTATTTGTCCGGCCACTGCCTGAAGACTGCCAGGGAGGGGGAGCTCACCACCTCCCTAGGCAGCTGATTCCAGTGTTGCACAACTCTGTCTGTAAAAAAGCTTTTCCTAATGTCCGGCCGGTACCTCCTTGCCCTTAATTTAAACCCATTCTTGCGAGTCCTCTCCTCTGCTGCCCACAGGAACAGCTCCCTGCCCTCCTCGAAGTGACAGCCCTTCAAACACTTCAAGAGAGATTAGGTTTGCCTCTACTAGGGCCAGGGCATTTTCGGTGGCGGCTCCTACCTGGTGGGATGAGCTCCCAGAGGAGATCCGGGCCCTGCGGGACCTTATGCAGTTCCGCAGGGCCTGCAAGACGGAGCTCTTCCGCCAGGCGTTCGAGTAGGAGCCGCCGCCGCCACTATCCTACCACCGAGGTAGTATGTCATCGGCTGCCCTATGAAAGTGGGGCAGGTATGCCCAGGCAGAAGTCATAGACAGCATAGCGGGACGCTACTGAGATAGCTGGCCACCAAAGCTGGATGGTTATTCCCATCTTGGTTGAATGATATAGCACCGTGTTATAGGATGGTTTTTGGGGTTAAATATCGTATTTTATTGTATTTTAGATTCTGGCTTTGCCGCCTGTGAACCGCCCTGAGCCTTTGGGAGGGCGGTATAGAAATCCAACAAATAAATAAATAAATAAAATGGTCCCTTGTGACAGAAACGTCATCCTCGGTAATGCAGGCCCGTAGCTACAGTGGGGCATTTCGGGGCCTTGCCCCTCGACTTCCCGCCAAGCCCCCTCGACTTCCATCCAACCCTCACTCCCATGGCTCTCTGGGCCACCCGGAGGACTACCAACTCTGAGCCACCCAGCGGACTCCCCACCACCTCCCCTTCCCCAAGCATGGCTTGCTTCCCCGCGTAGGCAGGCAGAATGCGAACACTGCCAAAGTGAGTTTTAAATTTTTTTTATTTTCTTTTATTTTGTGACGCCGGTGCCCTGATTTATTTAAAGGCCCCTCGAATGATAAAATCCTGGCTACGGGCCTGCGGTAGCGTATCCCACTCTTGGCAATGTATGGTCTTTCCGGCCCCCCCGCCTCCAGACTGAACATTCCCAAGTCCCTCAGCCTTTCCTCGCAGGACTTCTTGGTCTCCAGGCCCCTGATCATCCTCATCGCTCTCCTCTGCACCCGCTCCATTCTCTCCACAACCTTTTTTTGAAGTAAGGCCTCCAGAACTGCACACAATACTCCAGGGGTGGCCTGACCAACACAGTGTACAGCGGGACTATGACATCTTGTGATTTGGATGTTGTGCCTCCGTTGATACACCCCAAGATCTCATTAGCCTTTTTTCTCACGTTGGGTCTTCCTCTTTTCCCACTGCTTTCAACTTTTCCCAGCATTATTGCCTTTTCCAGTGACTCTTCGTAGCAACTCAAAATGAAACCAACTCAAAGTCTCAGTCATTTTACCTTTATATAAACGTATGGTAACTTGCAGTGTGAGAACCGAAGATACGACATATTACATTATGCCTGTGCATCTTGTTACCAAGATGTTGTTGATGTGTATCAAATCTACTGAAACATCATTGCTTCTAAAATGGATTCCAATGCATTGTGCGTGCCTAGAATCCTCCCTTTTTCTTTCCCTCTCCCCTCCTTCTAATCTAGGATATTCTCTTTCACACACTGACTAGCTAGCCGGTTTTATTGATTGAAGGTCTCTTTGTATCACCCTTTTAAAGGAGTGAACGTCAAGTGTACTCACCTAAAAATGTAAAGTATGAATGCGATGAGGGATGCTTACAAGAACCTAAAGGGAGCCCTGCTGGATCAGAGCGGTGGTCCGTCTAGTCCAGCCTCCTGTCTTATACAGTGGCCAACCAGGTCCTCTGGAGGGCCAACAGGGCATAGAGGCCGAGGCCTTCCCCTGACAAGAACATGAGAAGAGCTCTGCTGGGTCAGACCTCACTGTTCCATCTAGTCTCACACAGTGGCCAACCAGTTCCTCTGGAGGGCCCGCCTCAGAGAACAGAGGCTGAGGTCTTCCCTTGATGTTACCTGCTGGCACTGGTACACAGTATTCCAAATGAGGCCGCACCATAGATCTGTACTGGGACATAATATCAGCAGGGGTCATTTCCTGCAGGAGCGCACAGGAGTGGAGCCGGCAGTAAAGAGCCCAGGGGGCGGGCACATGCAACAAGCCCCACCCCCTGCTCCCAGCAGCCCTCAGTCCGAGCAAGAAGCAGCCAGGTAAGCTGCAGAGCCCCCCCCCCCCGGCCCCCCGGTCCAAAACAGTCCAGTGGCACCTTTAAGACCAAGTTTTATTCAGGTACAAGCTCTCCCTCCTCTGCCAGGACAGATCTGCACGTTCCCCACCACCACCCAATAGCTAGCAATCCAAAAGAGTCCAATGGAGCCTGAGCGGTGGGTGTTGCCTTCTGACACACTTCCGGTGATGTCAGGGGGTGTGGCATATGCAAATAAGTTATGCTAATAGGTTATGCTAATGAGCTCCTGCACCTCTTTTTCTGCGAAATGACCCCTGAATATCAGCAGTTTTATTCTTACTCCCTTTCTTTATAATCTCTAACGAGAGAGTCTGCCTTTTTCACTGCTGCAGCACACTGGGTTGACACTTTCATCGGACCCCAAGAACTTTCTCTCTCCGTCTCAGCAGGTTCAGGCTCCACATACACACACACTCACACTCTTACACTTTTTGCTCTTAGAACGCAAGAAACAGAGCCTGACTGTAATAAATTGTGTTGTCTGTTTGTTACCCAGGTACCTTCTGAAGATGCCTTTCCCCACTGGCTAGAGCAGCACACGTCCTCAGCAGACACCTGCACCCATGCTTACTGGTGAGTCCTCCCATACTGTAGTACAGTCTTCCTCCTGCGAGGCTACTGGACGTAGTCTGTATGGGGGGGTCTATTCCAAAGACTTTCTTTTGGGGGGGGGGGGAATACAGCAGAATGTTCCCTTGACGGCTTTACCACAGCACAGGTATTGTGAGAATTGTGCTAGTTTTATCTCGATTTTGGGAAAGGGTTTTCTGTTTTTTCTCTTCCTGTCACGTTTAAATATTAGGAATGGGGGGGGAGAGATAGCCAGAGGCACGTGGACCTGCATTTTCCACCTCAGAGAACATCATAAATTAAAAGTCCCACAAGAATCCTAGTGCTCTCTCTGTCGTTGTCAGAGAAGCGTGCTGAAATCCGTCACTGTAGATCCATGTTTGCCGTTAGCAGCTATTTATATTGTGGAGCTGCGGTGGCTCAAGTGGTTAAGATGCTGAACTGCAGGCTGTGGAAGGTCAATAGTTCAGCAGTTCGAGACCCGAGTTGCCGCATGACGGAGTGAGCTCCCGTCTCTAGTTCCAGCTCCTGCCAACCTAGCAGTTCGAAAGCAAGAAATTGCAAGTAGATCAATAGGTACCACTTTGGTGGGAAGGTAACAGTGTTCCGTGCACCTTGGCGTTTAGTCATGCCGGCCACATGACCACGGAAATGTCTTTGGACAGCGCTGGCTCTTCGGCTTCGAAACGGAGATGAGCACCGCAACCCTAGAGTTGGATTTGACTGGCTTTCGAGCAAGGGAACCTTTACCTTTACTATATTCAAAAAAGCTGTTTATATTAGTGGTATTAAAGTTTCTATGTAATGACTGAGGAGATGGAATCTGGTTGTCGGTTGCTTCTGTTCCTGTGAGGAGGAGGGAGTTGTGTGAGTTTGCTACACTTGCACAAAGCTGTTTCCTCATCTGTAAAGGAGAAGTTCCAATATGGCTTATGGAATATCATGTTTGTGTAGCTGTTTGTGGAAAATTAAAGATCTTAGGTTCTTCTAAGTACTTCGTCACCACCAGTTTGGTGTAGTGGTTAAGTGTGTGGACTCTAATCTGGGAGAACCGGGTTTGATTCCCCACTCCTCCACTTGCAGCTGCTGGATGACCTTGGGCAAGCCATAGTTCTGATGAGCTGTCCTTGAAAGAGCAGTTCTGGAAAGAGCTCTCTCAACTCTGCCTACCTCATAGGGTGTCTGTTGGGGGGGGGGGAGGGATTGTAAGCCGCTCTGAGACTCCCACGTGAAGGGTGGGATATAAATCCATTCTCTTCTTATAAATTACACATGGAATTCACTTCCACATGAGGCATAGACCACTTCAAGAGGGGATTGGATAAACCTATGAAGCAGAGGTCCATCAGTGGCCATTAGCCACAAAGTGTACATGGAACACTCTGTCTGGGGCAGTGATGCTCCGTCTTCTTGGTGCTTCAGGGGTAAAGAGTGGGATGACTTCTAGAGTTCTGGCCCCGCTAGTGGGCCTCCTGAGGGCACCTGGGTTTCAGCCACTGTGTGACCCAGAATGTTGGACTGAATGAGCCGTTGGCCTGATCCAACACGTCTTCTCTTACATTCTTAAAGTTGGTTGAAGGGCTGTGCCTTGATTCTCCTCCTCCTTCTTCCAGGAGAGGCAACTGCAAGAAAGCCAGCCTGGGCCTGATCTGCGAAGTGGGCTTGCGTTGTCGGATGTATTACGTCCTTTGCGGTTCAGTCTTGAGCGTCTGGACGAAGGTAGAAGGAGTTCTAGCCTCCGTGAGCGGCACCAACGTCAAGATGCAGATTGTTCGGCTAAGGACGGAGGATGGGCAGAGGATTGTAGGTGAGCGGTAATCACCCATCGTGCAAAAAGCAATTATTTTGTCCAAACATCAGGATGAATTCATTTCCCAGAGCAACCTGGATCCACCAGAATTCAGTATACCGAGTTGATGGCAGGCAAGCGACTTAAATGAAAATGCGGCACCAGCCCTTCCCTCAGGCCCACAAGCTATAAAAGAGAAGATACGCGGGGAAAGGGGAGGGAAGCTAGAGAAGGGGCATCTTTTGGATTTCCCAAACCAAGGGTTCAGGTAGCAGGTATTTTCTTGCCAGTTAAGGCCAGGCTGCTAAGTCACAAAACATGAATCTGCCTTATACTGAATCAGACCATTGTCCACTCAGACTGGCAGTGGCTCTCCGGGGTCTCAGGTGGAGGTCTTCCACATCATTTACTGCTTGGTCCTTTTTACAGGAAATACCAGGGATCGAACCCGCGACCTTCTGCATAGTCAGGGTCCAGAACTTCACAACTCGTTCACAAGGCTGAAACAGAAAAACCTCTTGTGATTTTTCATATGGGCTAGATCCTGAGTAGTGGAGGGTAGCAGGGCTTTTCCAGATATGTCAGCTCAAGGCAGAGCCCCAGAAAAGCTCCTTTTCTTGATGCTCATTGGAGAAGCCGTGGTTTGCAATGTTCCCTCTAAGCCATGGAGTCTTGTGAGCAAAATTCTACTTTGTGAGCTGCTGGCATTAAAGTTGTGAGCGAGCGATTGGGCTGCTGCATAAACTAGTTAGCTCGGGGGCTTCAAAATACGTTGTGGAATCTGGTACAAAAGTGCCCTTATCCGTCACAGATTGTTACTCTGGAAGTCCAGTGAGGACTCTAGGGCAGCAGAATTGAGGAAATTCTGGCTTAGGAGTCCAGCAGGGCTGAAGTTACTTCTCAGGGGCTGGTCCAAATTTGGGAGACTCCTTCGTGAAAGCATGTTTTGATTCCAAAATACACCAAGACAGCCCACGTGAGGATGGGCTTGCACTCGGGGGCCGCCCCCTCCTCCTGGATCAGCAGTCCCCTTCCAGCCGTGGGGCTGTGTCACTTTCATGCGCATTCCTTTCCTTGCGCTTAATTGCTTTGCCACAGCAACACGTAGGCCGCAGGAGGAGAGCTGCTGTAGAGGTTGCTTGGGTTATCCCTCGGATGAGTCGTGGGAAGTTTTACCTGTTATGCTTATTAGTACCGTTTGCTGTCAGGCCTAATGCCGCGTGTGGGAACTCCCGCAATTGGGTCTTGCTGATTTGAATGAACTATATCCTGACATGCTCTTTGGTTCCAAGTCATTCCTAACAGTGTTCCTGTCAATGCACCTTTAGCTTCAATAAAAGTAAAACCTTTCTACAAGCGTGTACTTCATTGTTGCTGTGGGGACCTGACAGGCTGCTCCCGTCCAGGCCCTGGGGTTTATTCTGTTCTTTATTTTCTTTGCTCAGGTGGGTGGCCGTGTTGGTCTGAAGCAACAGGACAAAGTCTGAGTCAAGCCAGCGGCACCTTTAAGACCAACAGAGTTGAATTCTGGGTATAAGCTTTTGTGTGCGTGCACACGTCTGTGAAGTGCACGTGCATGTGAAAGGGTATATCTAGAATTAACCTTTGTTGGTTCTTCGAAGCATGCACACACACACACAGAAGCTGATACCCAGAGTTAAACTTTGTCAGTTCTTCAAAGCGTGCACAACGCACAAGAGCCGATACCCAGAATCAGAGTTTGTCAGTTCTTCAAAGTGTGCACAACGCACAAAAGCCGATACCCGGAATTAAACTTCGTTGGTCTTAAAGGTGCCGCTGGACCCAGACTTCATTCTGTTTATTTTATTAGTACAGCCATCGACCAGCACAAATCACAATACAGAGTATGCTAAAATTATAAACAAATTAAAAAAAAATCTGTTCTATCGACGTCCTCTTCCATCCGCCTTTCCCACCTGAGCTTGAGGCGGATCAAGAGTCGTTTTTCACTCCATGCCAACCAAACCCCGCCTCTCTCATTCCTTGCAGGCTTGATCATTCCCGCCAGCTGCATGTCTCCCCTCGTCAACCTCCTGTCGACGTCCGACCAGTCTCAGCAGCTGGCGGTGCAGCAGCAGCAGCTCTGGCAACAGCACCACCCGCAGAGCCTCACCTATTTCAACAACGCGTGAGGAGGGCGGGGCGCCTCTTTGGGAAACCATCCGTTCAAGGCATATCATTCGTGTTTGAAAGAAATATCAGGGACAGATTCCAAAGAATATTAACTTTCAGTTCCATCATTCCCTCTCAGAACTGCGCAGGAGCAGAGAGGCACCGTGAAGGGTGATCCAACTGAAAGCCCGGCATTGCTTTACAGTGGTCCATGTGTCTTCTTCTTTTTTTTAATTATTCCCCGTGCTCTCTGTAGTGCTTCCTGTTTGAGATTTCTTTTTTACCATTTTTTGTGTGTGTGTGCGCGCGCGCATCCTACTCAAGCTACCAAACTCACGGCTTTTGTTTTGGAAGAGGCTTGAAAGTTCCCGGCCAAGCTGTCCATCCGTTCTCCTCGTCATCCAGCGCTCAGGGTTTAATGCAGTGCATCGGTGCCATTGCTGCAGAGGGGGAGGTCCTCAGATGCATGTTATTTTGAGTTTGTGTACAGAGACAATGAATCTACAATGGCAGGGGAAGTGTGTGCGGCGCGGCGCAGCGGTCTCCGCTTACGAAAAAAAAGAGTACGTTTATTTTTTGAAAGAGGATAAGCATGGGAAATCCAGAAGTTCCGCAAACCATGTGTCCGTTCCGGTCCGTTTCCCGTTTCTGTTTCCGGCTGTGCATGTCTTCGGATCGGGCATGAATGGGATCTTGCCCCCCAAACGTCAGCTGGGAGAGAGAGACACACAATCTCGCTGTGGCGTTGAGGGACCGCGTTCTGATTGTTAGCTTCTGCCCAGCTACTGCATTTTTCTGCCTTTTCTCCTTGAGGTTATATATTTGAATCTGCAGCTTGTTTTATTTTTGTGTGTGTGTGAACAAAAATCTTAAATTTTTAAAAGTTCATTTTTTTAATGTATTAATGGTGTTCCTAATGTGTGCTGCAAGGATGGCTTTTAAAAAGCCTGATTTCTTTCAATTTGTGTTTGTGTTGTTTTTTTCCTTTTCCCCTCCCTCTAAAACATTACCTTTTATCCAGTGAGGTTTCCAGAAACTTAAGTGCAAATTCTCTTCCATTTCACACGGCAGTCCTATTTTTATGGTTTTGTTTTTTTTTTTTTGTTTTTTTGTTACTGAAGACTTGAGCTGTAAATTAGACATGGGAGGGGGGGAGGGGGCACGCAAGGATTCCGATGTATGTACTTTTTTTTCTGTTGCCCCGTAATTTGAATACTGTTTATGTTGTAAGACATTGTAGAGTTTATCCTGGAGCTGTTTAAAATTGTAAATGTACAAAATGTGAATAGTCACTTATCTATAATATGGGTAAGTTTTGTTTTGCCTATAATAGTAGATGTTTATAAGAAAGTGAAGGACAATGTTTGTCATTTCTTGCTTGCACAGGTTGCACTATTGAAAATTTGAGATTGTATAAACCTGTCCACAAAACCGCAAGATACCAAAAATCTTGTAGGTGTCAAATAAAAAAAAAAAACTATTGTTCTAACAAGCCGCAGAATCATGTTTCATCATTCAGATTAATGTGCAGGTGCAGTTCTGTTAACAGCTTCACGTTTGAATTGTGATGCAAGTTCATGCCAAAAATTCTGAAATTACCACAAAGTTATGTTTTAAGTATTCAGATCACCTGCTTGGGAGATATTCCATGCACGATTAACTGCTCTGGCTTTCGCTTCTTTATATTCAGTCTCTACTGGGTTCTGGTAATTCTGCCCTGGCTATACATCAGGTGGGACCAATGCTCCCTCTAAGCTGCGGAGTCTTGGGAGCAAAAATTCTGCTTGGTGAGCTACTGGCACAAAAGTTGGGAGCAAACAATTTGGCCACTGCATCAATTAGTTTGCTCTTCTGGAGCCATCGTTCCCGGACTAAGACAAAAATATGTAAGCCCCGGAGGCTAAAAAGTTGTGAGCTAGCTCACACTAACTCAGCTTAGAGGGAACACTGCAGAGATGCAACAGATGACGGTGTTTGAAGCCAGAAAATAGCAGAGTTGTTGTAGTGGAGTATTTACAGTTTATTTACAGAGCTTACATGCACACAGCTTTGCAGCAGTTCAGAATATTCACTGACAAAGTGCTTCACATAACAGTAACCATCAAGGCAGTCCTGTACAAAGAACTCATTACGATATATACATACATTGACCAATCACAGTGCAGTCCTGTACTCTTGCTGAGTCATTCTGACACCTTCAGATATGATGCAACTTTGGTGTCATATGACCCCTTAGCTGTCATTCCAGATTATCTAGATCTAACTCATGTTCCATGACATAGCTGTGATCTTGCCTATACTGACAACAGAATGACAACACACCAGAATAGGCAGCCTGATGCATCTCTGCCTGAGTCAGCCCTCTGGACTTACCTGCTTCCAGTTGAGAAGTAAGACCAGAACAAGGACTTGTATAGGAAACTGACGATTTGAGCTGAGGGTAGGTAGGAAACTCTTGAGTGTGGACTTGTGGGCAGATGCTTCCAATATTCAGGAAGTATTAAAATATCCCACCTTTCCTCGTGGAAAGTGCCATCAAGTTGCAGTGTATTTATGGTGACACCGTAGGGTTTTCAAGGCAAGGAGAAGAGACTGGATTTATACCCCGCCCTTCACTCAGCGTCTCAGAGCGGCTTTAAAACTCCTTCCCCTCCCCACAACAGACACCCTGGGAAGTAGGTGGGGCTGAGAGAGCTCTGACAGAAACTGCTCTTTTTCAAGAACAGCTCTTATAACTATGGCTTGCCTAAGATCATCCAGCAGCTGCGAGTGGGGGAATCAAACCCAGTTCTCCCAGGTGAGAATCCGTGCACTTAACCACTACATTAAACTGGCTTCAGGGCTGGTTTGCCATTGCCTCGTCTCTGCGTAGCATCCCTGGATTGACTTGGAGGGGTCTCCCATGCAGGGTGCAGAATCTGCTGGTCCAGTGTACACTCTCCCTCCCCGTTGTGAATGGGGATAATTTGGTCCGAAGTGTGAATACGCACCCCTAGGGCTATTTTTGGGCAGGAACGGAGTTCTGGCTGGCTCCCAAGTTGGCCACACCCAGCAGGAACTCATTAGAATTGGCTACATTAGGGGTGTGTGGCCTAACATGCAAAGGGGTTCCTGCTACAAAAAAAGGCCCTGGGTTTTGACAACAAGGTAAACAGAATAAGAAGCAAATGGTGGGTGTGGCTGGATGACCACACTTTTTGTAACATGGGGATGCGGCTTAATATGCTAATGAGCTGTGCAGTCAGGGGGTGTGGCCTAATATGTTAATGGGTTTCTGCTGCTGGGTGTGGCCTATTATGCTAATGAGTTCCTGCTGGTCTTTTTCTACAAAAAAAGCCCTGCGCGCCCCCCAGGGTAATGCTACCACCACTCCCTTTAACTACACCGTCAACCACAGTATAAAAATGTGCAGGGATATACAATATAGGAGCAGGGAACAGTGAGGATGACATCATAAAGCTAAACATCCTAAGCACATTTACTTACAAGCATTGTTTTTAAATCTGGATCTTACCCAGCAGGACTGAGTCCAACAGAGTTTCGAAGCCCAAAACAGGTGCTCCGGCTAACCTGGCCCACCCAGAACCATGAAGTGTCCCAAACTTAGATGTAATCCAAAGGGGTGAAACCAGAATGAAAGATCTAAGAACATAAAAGAAGCCAATGTTGGATTGGGCCAATGGCCCATCCAGTCCAGCACCCTGTCACACAGTGGCCAAAACCCAGGGGCCATCAGGAGGTCCACCAGCAGGGCCAGAACTCTGGAAGCCCTCCCACTGTTGCCCCCCAAGCACCAAGAAGACAGAGCACCACTGCCCAAGACAAGAACCTAAGAGAAGCCATGTTGGGACAGGACAATGGTCCATCCAGTCCAACACTCTGTGTCACACAGTGGCCAAAACCCAGGGGCCATCAGGAGGTCCAGCAGTGGGGCCAGAACTCCAGAAGCCTTCCCACTGTTGCCCCCCAAGCACCAAGAAAACAGAGCATCACTGCCCCAGACAAGAACCTAAGAGAAGCCATGTTGGGACAGGCCAATAGCCCATCCAGTCGAACACTGTGTCACACAGTGGCTAAAACCCAGGGGCCATCAGGAAGTCCACCAGCAGGGCCAGAACTCCGGAAGCCCTCCCACTGTTGCCCCCCAAGCACCAAGAAGACAGAGCATCACTGCCCGAGACATAAGAGAAGCCATGATGGAACAGGCCAATGGCCCATCCAGTCCAACACTGTCACACCGTGGCCAATACCCAGGTGCCATCAGGCGGCCCACCAGCGGGACGTTAATGCCCAAGGACCTGCAACTGGCATAACTCCAGTTGACCACTCAAATGTATGGCTGATGGTGTAACTTGACCCATCAGGTATGTTACTGCCCAGGTGACCCAACCCATCAGGTGAATTGCCATCATGAGGCTGGGCACTCTGTAGCTATGCCAAGCCTAAGTAAGCAAAAAACCTTCTCCCACCTATGAGTCCTTGCACTAAGGAGACGGAATGCACAGGCCAAACGGCCTCCTGTATTCTTCTGGCCTTGAGCCAGTTTGGTATAGTGGTTATGTGTGTAGTGGTTCGGAGGCCAGGCTTGCTATTACCAGGGCCAGGGCTTTCTCTGTAGCAGCCCCATCCTGGTGGAACGAGCTCTCGGAGGAAATCAGGGCCCCGCGGGACCTTTTGCAGTTCCGCAGGGCCTGCGACACACCTCTTCCGCCAGGCTTTCACATAGGGGCCGCCACCATTCTAGAGACCTGGCCCTTGGTTTTGACACCCAGCCTGAGCCGCAGGAAGATCTGGTGCAGAAGGATTTTTAGAAAGCACACTGAAATAAGCCATCTTGAGTAACTATCTTCAGCACTTTCTGAAACTGTATTAATAATGGAATTGTTTTATATGGTTTTATGTGGACTTAACTGTATTTTATGTACTGACTGTGAGCCGCCCTGAGCCTGCATTGCGGCGAGGGTGTGAATGTGATCAATCAATCAATAAAATAATAAATTAAGTGTCCGGACTCTAATCTGGGAGAACTGGGTTTGATTCCCCACTCCTCCACTTGCAGCTGCTGGATGACCTTGGGCAAGCCGTAGTTTTGACAAGAGCTGTCCTTGAAAGGGCAGTTCTCAAAAGAGCTCTCTCAGCCCCACCTACCTCACAGGGTGTCTGTTGTGGGGAGGGGAAGGGGAAGGAGATTGTAAACTGCTCTGAGACTCCGAGTGATGGGCGGGGTATAAACCCAATCTCCTCCTCCTCCTCTTCTTGAAGCCTATAGGCCTAATGGTCTGACCAGCACTTGTGACTGGCCTCCCATCTTATCTCACTCGTTGAGGCTACAGTCAGCTTGACCTCAGGTTCTGAGCAAAAGCAGCTGCCATAATTTCTGCTTGGCCTGCATCTGAACCAATGTCTCTGAACTGAGAAGGGAGTACTAGGCAGACTAGTCTCTTGTCAGGCCAGGCTCAAAGGAACTCCTTTTGGGGGTAGCACCTTGGGGAAAGGGACTCCCTTGTGGAGGATGTTGTTCAGTCGCACAGTCGAGTCCGACTCTTCGCAACCCCATGAACCACATCACGCCAGGCCCGTCTTCCGCCGTCCACTGGAGTTTGCTCAACCTCCTGTTCGTTGCATCGGTAACACTGTCTAACCATCTCATCCTTTGCCGTCCCCTTCTTCTGTTACCTTCAGTCTTTCCCAGCATCAGGGTTGTCTTCTCCAGCGAGTGCTCCCTTCTCATTGGGTGGCCAAAGTATTTGAGCTTCAGTTTCATTATCTGGCCTTCCAGGGAACAGTCAGGGTTGACTTCTTTTAGGACTGTGGAGGGTGGTTGAAAGTAAAAAAGTTAAAAGACAACAAAGAGCCGGTGTGGTGTAGTATCTGGGAGACCCAGTTTGAACCCGACTCATGCCATGGAAGCTTGCTGGGTGCCCTTGGGCCAGTCACATTCTCTCACCCTAACCTACTTCACAGGGTAGCTGTGAGGATGAAAAGGGAGGAGAATGACGTAAGCCACGTTGGGTCCACACTGGGGAGGAAGGTGAGGTATACATGAATTAAATAATAAATAGCAGTCAACAGTTGTAATAGAAGTGCATGCCCAAAGGCCGTCACAATCAGTCACACAGATATAAATTGAGCATCAAACATGGATCGTAAATAGCATTGTTAAAATAACCAAACCTAAAAGTGCTTATCGATACTTTTTTTTTTAATTCCACCTGGACTGAATCGAGACCTAGGCTTCCTGTCTCATTACCAATGCTGATTTCTCCACGCCTACTGCTTCTCTGCATATCACACCTAATCCAGTCACACCTATTATTGTCATTTGCCTCCTAATCTCATTTGGCATCTGAAATCACTCCACTTCCCAATATATAGGACAGATGGACTCCCATTCTATCTGCATCCAAAGAAGTGTGCAGTGACTCACAA